CAGATCGGTTGGGGGAAAGGAGATATAGAAAAGGTAGGTGTGGAGTACTTTTGCATAAATTAAATAGGGGCATTAAAGACATTACATTCATATTTGTTTACTAAAAAGGGAAACGTTGCAATTAATTTGAAACTACCAAAAAAAGGAAAGTGTTGCAACTATTTAGATACGGAGGAAGTATTATTTATGATGTCCTATGTTTACGAAACATGAGAAATTTGAAACTAAGCAAACGATTCCTTTTAAGATTGACATTATAATGGTAATCTATATACTGATTTTTTTAGAGGAAGTCTAAGAAGATTTAGTGACTAAACTTATAATATAACTTATTCACAAAAGAGTTATTCACAAGAAGATTATGTTTAATAGTTCATTTAATTTATACTTTAAAGAGAAATTCTTTTGGTGTAACAGGGGAGTCAAATTACAGTGGATTATTAAAACAAATGAAGACTTCCTCTTATGCTTTAGAAAAAGATTTCATGTGAAAGACACCTTGACAACAAATAGCACAAGTATAACATACCAAATGAATGATTTTTCCTGAGATTATAAATGATGCACTAGACCTGAGTATTTTATCACGCATAAAGAAGAAGATGACTTAAGGATTCAACAGTAAATATATAATACTATGTTAGTGTCATTAAGAATATTTTAAAGAGTTTTAGGCTTACATATGAGTCTCATAAGTCATAACACTGCTACCATGAACAAAGTGTGAGATAGCTAGTAAGCTAGTAAATAAGCTAGTAAGTAAAGGGATTATAAACATAAGTAAAGCAATCTATTGGACGGAAGTGATACAATGGTGAATTAGAAAGCTCCATCCTCTCCCACAACTTGATCATATTGTGAAGATGAATTCACCAAAATAGGAAGAAGGTGAAGCGCTATGTTTTAGATATTTTAAAATTTATGAAATCACGATGAGGTGATGAACCTGAAGAAAATTTCTATCCTTCAAATTTAAAAGACCAATTCGAACTAACCACACCCTAGTGGAACGTTGTTCTAAGTCTAAATATCATTTCTTGTGGTGTGTGGCATACGTTTTAAAAGAAGTTGGGATTTCGTATGATCTTCTGCTCTCATATTAATAAGTAAATAGTGCAAATCAGTAAACCAATCCGTAATAAATGCTATGTTCAGTGTTTAGGATTTTGTGTTCTAGTATAAGCACAAAACATGAAAAGAATACTTAATAGGAGAAACTTTTGTCAGATCTTTGTATATGTCACAAGTAGTTGTATGTCTCCCTAATAATAGAAACTTGATCAATGTGGTAATAAGAAAAGTCAGTACACATTCAGAGAATTTAAAGGCACATGCTCCAGAAAATAAAGGGGTAACCTAGAGAAAGGTGTAAGGCTATTATAGTTGCACAACTATGTGAGAAGTCAGAAAAGAAATACAAAAGGAAATTAGAAAACGTAGTTCCTATAGGGCGCAACTAGGGTTTTAGACCCTCGTTTGCGGAAGTTGGGGTCGGCAAATTTCCTTCGCTCAACGGGTTGGACGATACAGGAGGAGTTTCGTCATCAAGAATAGAGGCAGCTGAGGAGTGTAATATTGAGGAGGAGTGTAAGGAGGGTCTGGCGTATATGATGAATATTTCATGGAAGTTTGAGGGTAAGGAATTCCTCCTGCAATTTGGCTGAATGCGTTCATCTCATGCCTCTTTTTAAAAGAAAAACTAATTAAAAAAATATCGTTGAAATTAATTAACCCTTAAAACCGACACCGTCCCTGGCAACGGCGCCAAAAACTGATGTTAGTTTTCTCGCACTTAAAATAGATTGTAGAATAGTGGTGTAAGTACGAGTATCGTCTCCACAGGGACGGACAAAAAGGGAATTAAGAATTAAATAAATTCAGCGAATAAAAATAAATAAAATAAATGCGTCGTGCGAGATTTGATTGATTGGGAAAATTAAATTGCGAAAAAAAAAGAAATTAAACTAATGGGTTCTTTCTAAATAATGACGATAGGGGACAGGGATTGATTCCGGGGTAATCAGATTTTCTGCTGATCAGGCTTAATTACATGAAATTAAATTAATTGAGCCTAGCTAATCATTACTAAGTTCTTACCGCTCTCGCGGCGTAGAGTACAATAATTTAGGGGACCTGACTGATCTCTCATGCGACAGATCCTAAACTATTGCCAAAATGAGCGAGCTTACGGCCCCTTAATCGCTACTAATCTCTTAGCAAACGATTAAGTGTGTGTGAATGTGTTTTAGAATAAACTAGATCTCTCTTAATTTATTTTACATGCAATTATAATCCTAATGGTCATTCTAGGTTACAAGAGATATCAATTAAATAATTCAAACACAAATTAAATCAAGATTCAGGCAACTAATCCATCATGATTCGCCCCTTCATCAATCCATAATCCCTAATTAAAACTTACTCACAACTCATAATTGAAGAATCAATAGAAGTGGGAAGAATAGAATTAATTGTCATTAATTAAAAAGTAGAAACTTACAAATAATCCAAGGGAATTGAAGAACAAGATGGAAAAGTAGAAGAAATTTCGTCCCTAGGCCTCTCTCTAAGCTCCGTCTTTGAAAACAGGGGTTTACAGGCTGTTTAAATAGAAATAACGGAGCAATTCTGAACGAAATAGGACACCGGGAACGCACGACGCAGTATTCGCGCAAAAACGTGCCACGCACGGCGTGCGTTCCCCCACGTACGGCCGTGCGTGGCTGGCAGTAACTCCTCGCCTCTTCCTTCTACACGCACGGCGTGCCTAACTTCGTGCGCACGGCGTGCACTCTTCAATTCTGATTTTGACAATTCTTCCTACATTAAAGTTGTAGGTAATGAAGTCTTCTATCCACCGTAACTTGGAAAACTGGATTTGAATCATCCAATCAAAACATATGAATAACATTGTGGAAGGTCGCATTCTGAAATCGCAACAGCGATCATCTAACTTCTTCGTCTGTTTTCACCTTTTTCCTCTCAGAGTTTAGTAATGGTGTCTTCATATGATTTGTAGCCCTTGAAGTTGGATTTGATATGGAACTTGAATCGTGTTCTTTGGATGCTTCTACAAAATGATTCGGTTGAACGATTGACAGAAGCTCATTCTGAACGCCATTTTCAAGCTCTATTCATCTTCTTTTGATCTCATAGCCAATCCTAGAGCTCTTTTATCATCAAATCTTCATCGTGAACCTCCCGGTGACTTCTAAAGCTCTCAAATCTTTCTCAAACGCTCTCCAACTCTTCTTGATTACTTCTCAAGCGCCGGTCTTGGACTCTAAATTCCTGATTTTGACTCCAAATAACACAAAACTCGAACCAACACCTGATAAACATACCTTGAGCTAAAATTGAGACTTATGACACCTTAAAGCTAGGAAAACCATCACAAGTCGATCCCAACACGCATCAAATGTGTGTCTAAATACAGACTTATCCAGTGGGTTGGGTGGTGTTAGTCATAGGATGATTCTATATTTGATATATCTATATAAATTACTCTGAATTGGAGTTAGAACAATACGAAACCCCAAAATAGGAGAATTCCATTTTTATTTTCTTAATATGAGTAATTATTGTCATAGTTATAAAGTACTGCCGATTTTGGCATTATATTTCCATATTAGCCTGGTAATGCCAACACATGCAAGTAAAATTCAAGGATGACACTGATACTCCTATTCGCCAACAAATATATCATGCTCATGTTTTAGAATTTTATACTGTTTTTACTCATATTTTGGGAATTTTCCCTAATTCTATTTCGTCTCAAATCCAAAACGCATTTGGTTCAATTAAGTGAAAGTATTGTGGCTTGCATTGCCAAAATGAGATTCAGTCTCGAGCAATGATTAGTAATTCGTAATGCTCTTTTAAGATTACATAATGACCTCTATATCTTATCGGGTCACTATGTGAGACTTTTTTGAGTTATTTAGGTCATATGTAAGGATTTGAGTTTTTTCCATTTTCAGTCCTCCGACTATCCTGTCATTGACATTTTTGGTACCCAACTTTTTATTTTTCCAATTTTAATCGTCGACTATTGTGTTAAAGACACTTTTAGTCATCGACTTTAAAGTTTCTCACATTTAATCCCCTGACTTTTATCAAATTGACATTTTTAGTCCTTCCACTATAAATTTGACACCATAAGTGGAGGACTAAAAGTGTCATTATTATAATAGTTGAAGGACCAAAAGTGTCACTTGTATGAAAGTCGGAGGACTAAATATGGAAATTTTTATAGACGGGTACCAAAAGTGTCCCTAGCGCAATAGTTGAGCACTAAAAGTGAAAAAAGTCAAAGTTGAGTTCCAAATATGTCAATGACATAATAGTCGGAAGACCAAAAGTGACAAAAACTCGTAAAGATTTTGTTTCATATAATTTGACAATTTACCGTAAAAAATATGGAGTATATGTGATTAAAAGTTTCAAAAAATAGTTAGTCATTTTTTACTTGATTTGGCAGCCAATTAATTATGAATGTAGGAAAAATAATAACTCAACTCTTAAAGGGAGATTTTAGGGAATTGAGCCATATACTCCCTCCATCCTCCAATTAAGTTCCTAGATGAATTTCACACATATTAAGAAAATAAATTTATTGGGAGGTAAATTTTACTGTTTTGACACTGTTTGGACACTGTTTGTCACTGTTTAATACAGTTTGACACTGTTTTGCACTATTTTGTTGTAGATAATTTGCCAAATAAGGAAATGTAGGAAAGTGTGAATTTAATTGTGGGTCTGCCAAAAAAGAAAGTGAGAACTTAATTGAGGGACAAAGGAAGTATATGACTCCACTATAGTGTCTTATATCTTGTGTGAGCTCATCATTATGATGACCATTCATTTATATAATGGGGTCTTCATTATTTTTTTGATTTACCATAAAATGAGTGCTAATGATGTTTTTATTTGGATTGTTTTCAGTCTCAGACCAAACCAGACCAAACTTAAACAAACCATATCAGACTTCCGTAGTTATAAAAATACACAGAGACCAAATATTTACCCAACCATAGCAGACTAGTTCAGACCAGATCAGATCAGATCAGATCAGACCAACAAATTACAATCCAAATAAAAACATCCTTATAATAAAGGTACATATGCACATATGATTGATGATTCCATCCATATATGATTCTTTGAACAATTATCAGATTTTCATAGTTATAAATAAAATACACACACAAAAACCAAACATTTATCAGATCAGACCAGTTCAGACCAGATAATACCAATTTTGAATAAATCAGACCAGATCTGACCAGACCAATAAATTTCAGTCCAATTAAAACATTCTCCAATTCCATAAAGAATTAGAACGATTACTTATGGAAGCCAAATGAGATATGACCTCACGCACCAGTTGTGCTTGTGTTTATTAAATTTTTTTAAAAATGAAAGTAATCAAAGTAGAAAAATATGCTTTACATTTGATATATCTAAAACAAGCACACACCAAATCTGCTCATTACTTCTTATTCTTCTTTTGTCAAAAAAACAAGCACACAAAACACCAAATCGAATAGCTGGTGAATGATCACATGCAGGAAATTTTTCATTGGTATATATCCCTTCAAGCACTTGTATATTTGTTACTTCTGATATAGATTACGCACCAATGTTCAACAATGAAGATCTAGGTATGGACACAGAGCAGCTCACATATGTTGGTGATTGGTGAATAGCTAGCTAGGAGTGGTATAAACCACATTACTTTAGCTTTGGTATATATTTGAGGTCAAACCAGTCCAATGATCCTCTGCAAATTTGAATACTGCAATAGATGCACATCAATTAGAAATTTTGAGGTCAAATCATCTCCAATGTAAAAATGTGAATGGGTGCATGACATGAAGAATAAACACATAAAAATTACTCCTATCCAGACGGTCATATATGTTTTTGATAATTCTCCACAATGTCGGATACAACGTCAAGATGTAGACGTTGTGATTGCAATTGTTGAGAAAAAAATACCAAAAATAAATAAGATCACAAAAACAAAGAGAAAGAAATGACGTTGATTTATGTATACGTGTATCTCTTTCTTACCACATATAGTGTATCTATTTATACTAATACAAAATTATCTAGACTCTTCTATAATTAATCCATTCTAGACAATTCTATACAATCAATGATAGAAGAGTTCTAGAGACCTTATCTTCTAGAGAAGCTCTAAAATTTATTCCTTCTATATTTTTCTATCACTTGGTCCTTCCCAATAATAACTAAAGTAAATACTATCGTATTAGTTAGGCCCAAAAACAAGTTTAATTTTCAACACCGTACACATCGATGAATTGGAGATACGCTGCTTTAATCTTCTAGACTGCTCCTATCAAGCTAACATTATGAGGAAATTACCTACAATATATATTACAAAAGACATGTTTTCCTAAAATGATGCATGTTAATTCATCCACATCCATGCATTTCAATGTTTCTCCCTATTTTTTAGCCCACTTCATCCAAACATAAAGTCATCGTTTGATTATTAATGAATTCATACCGCAGGGGGGATATATGCAGTCATATACTCCCTCCGTCCCCCTGTTATTGTCCCATTGTGGTTTACAATGCTTGACTGACGATAAAGCAAACAGATTCCTGTCCGCACTCAAATTATTTTTAAGAAAAAAAATTACATATTCAGAAACTACATTAAAAGATTTACAAAGTCGCAAAAACCAGAATCAAATTTGATAAAAATTTGATAAATAAAGTAAAAGATTAAGAGTGATTTGTGTTGACCAAGTGAATAGGAAATGGGACAATAACAGACTAACAGTGGGACGGAGGGAGTATTAGATAAGGATTGAGTGATATTCTTCTATCTATATTCAATGTTTTTTACTCTCTCCGTTCTTTATTAACTGTCTCACATTCCTTTTTGAGACGTTTTTAATTATTTATCCCTTTTTCATTTTTGGTAAGTTTTTTCAATTAAAATACTTTTATACCCCCACTTTTATTACCATTACCCCTTTCTCTTTCCTACTTTTTCATTTACCCACAACCCACTACACCATTTACACTACCCCTATTATTTTCCTCTTAAAACTCGTGCCAAAGCCTAAGATCAGAGGACATATAATAAACAATGGAGGAAGTATTTAGTATGTAGAAGCTACTAAAAATGGATCGGGTATAGTTCAAATTATTATAAATAGATATAGGGAAAAGTACGAAAAAGGTATCACTCAATCATTACCTTTTCCACATGACCCTTTCTTCGATCAGACGTTTTTAACGGTGCGACCCTCTTGTGATAACGGAATTCAAACACATGAACCACTTTGATAAAGAATGAAACACATGACCCTATCTGAAAATGGCTCAACCACAAGTACCTTTTCCGTATTTTTCCCTAAAATATACTCCCTCCGTCCCTAAAAGGATTGCCAAGTTTGATCGGCACGTAGAATAATAAAATAAAAACTGTGTGGTAGAGATTTGTGCAGAGGAGAGAGAAATAACAGGAACTACAAATTGATGATTAAAAGGGAAAATGACAAAGTTTTTAGGACACTCAAAAAAGAAAAGTTGGCAAAGTTACAAGGGACGGAGGGAGTATATTAATTACTAGAATAAACAAAACACGAGTACAACTCGAACCAAGTCATAAATTTTTCGATTGAATTGAAACTCAACTCGAACTCGAACTTGATCTTTCTAATATACACTCCGTATCAAAATAATAGTAGTGGACAAAAATTTATAACTTCATAACTTTTAGTGATTATAATTGTGTTCAAAGTTTATACTCCGTATTATGCTAGTAGTGATTACAAAAGTATACATGCATGTAATCCATTGTCATGTAAACTTTGCACACAATTATAGTCTCTAAAAGTTACTAAATTAATTTTTTTTCTATAACATTTTTATTAGTAATACTTTAGGAAAAAAAATTTATCATAAACCATTTAACTGTCTTTGATGTCATCCTCATTCTTATTTGTTGTTAAATACTCCCTCCGTCCCCTAAAGGTTGCTAAATTTGACCGGCACGTAGAATAATAAAGTAAAAAAAATGTGGCAGATATTTGCAGAGAAGAGAGAGTGACATCAGTCACATATTGATTGATTAAAAGGGAAAATAGCAAAAAAAATTGGCACAACAAAAAAAGAAAAATTAGCAAAGTTATTAGGGACGGAAGGAGAGAGAGTATCTTTATTCTAATGAATTCTTATGGATTTAAAAGTAAAGTTATTGTCTCTATTTGTCTCCAATACCAACCCCATTTACTATTTTTAACTCCTACCAAAACAATTGGTTCAGATACATTGAACCAAATCTTATTCGCAGTCACATACGCTGGAATAATCAGTCACAAATCTAAGAGAATACTGTTCAATTCGGTTCAATGTAATACGATAGTATGTTACCTTGGGGCGAAATTATAGTAGTAGCACCACTGTTCCAATTTGCAGCATTACAACTATGAGAGTAGACATTGTTGTTGCTGTCAACAGATCCCAAATCTTTGGGCATCCTAAGATGCTGGGGACAATCACACATTGAACAAGGCCTCACAGCTATCTTCTTGTTAGCCATTGGTTCTTTAGCTGCCACATCATCATAGTCTAAGGGATATTCTCCTAGGGGAAGTGGAGGTTGAGTACTCCAAACAGGTGCTGGTAGTAACATATTGGCCTCACTCATCTCTTTAATAAACATTTTCTTGATTGTTCTTTCTCTAGCCCTAGCCCTAGCCTTTGCCCTAGATTCTTTAGCAACATCATTACTTTTGTTGACCCCAACTTTGATGGAACAGGCTCTTCCCCTTGTCTTACTCGTTTCTGTGGACACTCCATCCTTCACGGCGGAAGACGGCGAACTTTCAGCGGTGGCGTGGGTTAGCTCCTCAATGGCTTGCTTGGATTTGGCGAGTAACCAATTTAGGGTTTTGCTGGGCTTATCAAGACCCAAAGTGTCTTGAAGGTGGAAGAACTTCTGAGCTATGGTGATGGAGAGCCGGACTCTCCGGTCCCTTTGACCTTGAGCTGTCATGATTTTAGTATGGCGGTCCTTTTTCTTCGCCGCCGCCTTCTCCGGCCTGCCGGTAAACAACAAAGCTTCCTCCTTTTCGATGCAGGTATTACCTGTATTATCTTCATTGCTATAAATATTGTTGTAGTAGTTATTGTTGTTGTTGACTTGATTGTTGCTATTAAAGTTGACCAACAAATTGTGGGTGTTCCATGAAAGCTGGTGGAGGTGGTGGTGGTGATAGAGGTTGTGATCATGGAATTCAGGAAGGCTGTAATATCCTCCGCCGTGGGAGGTGGCGGAGGGGGCTGAGAGCTGCGTAAGTGGGTTAGAATGATTGGAGGAGAGCATTTTAACTAATGAAAGCATATACTGTGCTACCTACCTTGAAGTAACAAAGCTAGCTAGGAATATAATGAGAAATATGGTGGAGAAGGACAAAAGGAAAAGGAAATTGTTAGGCGGTACGTTTTAAATCATAGGAGACTAATCACTGAGACATCTTATGTACTCAGATTTGATGGCTGTGGCCTGAATGTGTGCTTGCTCTCGTCTCCTCATCACAGATCTTTCTTTCTCTCTAATCAGGAATGTACCCACACAGCTTCGGCCTACATTATTTTCTTTCTTTTTGTGGGAAATCCTATGTCAAATATTAGGAACCTAAAATTGGACTTGGAATTGGACCATCCAGGCCAGATAAAGTCATGATGAACGAACTGTAGAAGAACTTAGAAGACTAAAAAACGTAGAGGTTGTTAATCATGATTCATGAAACTAAGAAGTTTTTTTTTTATTTCTTCCACTTCTTTAATCCATTCATTCATGTTATATTAGAGGCAGCCCTTGATTTTCCCTCATCATCATCACCTCAGTGCCGCAAAGGCTTTCACTTACAATGGCGTAAAGAGGTTGGATATACGCAATCTTACTCATGTATTAAAGCATAAAGAAACTCTTTCTGATGGACCCCTGATGGAAATAGCGTTGAAAAATTGCATTGTTTGACTGCTATTTCATAACAAAAAAGCGCATATAATTTAGTGAATCATTTTGCTTCGTTCCATTATATTTTCAAGCCAAAACATAGTTAATCTTCGTGTTCATTGCAAATGAAGCTGGATTTTTCCCGCGGTCCTCACATTAAGGAAGCAAGATCTTGCGATAGTCTGAGAGCATTATTATTATTATTATTATTATTATTATTATTATTATTATTAATGAATTAAAGCTTGTAGTGTGCTACGTAGAAGTTACTATTAAGAGGCCGGAACACGGAAGGACAATAAGAAAAGAGAAGTGTTGGGTGGTTTCAAATCATACAAAGACAATCATGCACGAGGGACGTAGTACTTAGATTCGATGGTTGTGGGTGTGGCTTATTTACGTTTCTTCATCACAGCCCGGCCTTTCTTTCTCTCCCAACACCAAATTACGGACACAGTCATTGTTGCTTCATTTCCTTTTCGGGTAAATCCTATGTCAAACGTTAGGAAACTAAAAAGACCATTCGGTTGAATTGGATAAAGGCCATTACAGGTTTAGTCGTTCTAGCCACCATTTTAAGAAAAGGGCTTGAATAACTCGTCTAGATGATCTGACTAAATGAATTGCAGTAACCTTAGGATTGTTCCAAGAAAACGTAGAGGTTGTGTAATTATGAGAGAGGGTATAGCAGTGTTTGTCTTAGGATGCAACCTAATGAACATTTCTCTTCTGTTGTTGATTTTAGTGTCACCGGTCATTTTGTGCAATTGGAAATGACATGAGTGTCAATGCGGTTTAGCATCGTGTTCTAATACAAGCTAGGAGGTGTGGAGTGTACACTTGTATATAAGAACGAGTTCTATTCCAAAGTGTCTATGGCAGTGGAACTCGAGGTAGAACACTCAGTAGACCAACTCTGTGATTCTATACCGAGGTCTAGAGCGGTTGGCCGAGGCAGTTTCGTGCAGTTTTCCAAAAACTGTCATGGTTATTCTAAAACGTGTTGTAACTGCCTGGGACGTGTAATATGGATATATATCACCATATTTCGTACAGAGAAGTAAGAGGGAAGATATACAACATATCTTGATCACTTTTGGCATTCAAATTAAGATAGCAATCCATATACTCACTAGTTTGGCTCTAGTTCTTGTGCCTAAGTTCTAGAATGTCCTTACGGATTATCATAGATTGAATTTCTTGTTAACTCAGGCATAGGGGAGAAATATCAATTCGGAAAGTGAAATTACAAGATCCTTAAGCAATCCAAGTACTCAATTATCACCCCCTATACACACGAACCCCAACAATCAAATTGATATTCCTTTGTGATAATCATGAGTTCCGTGCAAGAGATGACAACCAAGTTCAACAAGTTGGACAAGTTTCAAGGGAATGATTTCCGTAGATGGCAAAAGAAGATGCACTTCCTTCTCACCACTTTGAAGGTTGTGTACGTGTTGAGCACTCTGATGCCGGAAGTGATGGAAGATGAAACCTTGGAACAAACTAGGAGGCGTAACAAGTGGGAGAACGATGACTACATATGTAGAGGACACGTTCTTAACGGTATGTCTGATGCGTTATTTGATATTTACCAAAACGTTGAGAGTGCGAAGGAATTGTGGAATTCTCTTTAGTCAAAATACATCTTCGAAGATGCTTCTAGTAAGTTGGGGATGAGTTATTTAATATTTGTTTTTCACTTGTATTTAGTGGAAGGTTTAAGTGACGAAGTGGGGGTACAATATTCACATTGTTACCAAGTTGAGGATGATCCAAAGATCTTTAAAGAGGCAATGGAGTCCCGAGATGTTGCCTTTTGAAAGGAGGCAATTGATGATGAAATGTCATCAATTATGGAGAACAACACTTGGGTGTTGTCGGATTTGCCACCGGATTCTAAACCTTTAGGATGCAAATGGATCCTCAAAAAGAAGATGAAAGGCTCGGTTAGTTATTCAAGGTTTTAGACAAAAACCCGGAATTGACTATTTTGACACGGATGCGCCGGTTGCTCGAATTACAACCATTAGATTGTTAATTGCTTTGGCGGCTATACACGATCTTATTATACATCATATGGATGTCAAGACGGCATTTCTTAATGGCGATCTTGATGAGGAAGTTTACATGAAACAACCGGAAGGTTTTGTTATGCCGGGAAATGAGCATAAGGTATGTAAACTTGTTAAATCATTGTATGGGCTGAAACAAGCACCCAAACAATGGCATCAAAAAATTGATGAAGTTATTTTGTCCAATGGTTTTAGTTTAAACCAATCAGACAAGTGTGTCTATAGCCGGTTTGATGCCATATGGGCAGGTGTGTTTATATGTCTCTATGTAGATGACATGCTGCTTTTTTGGAACGCACCAAAATCAGGTTGATGAAACTAAAATGTTGTTATCATCAAGATTTTTCATGAAGGACATGGGCGAGGCAGATGTGATCCTTGGAATAAGGATTAAGTGGGTAAACAAATGGATTGCTTTGACACAACCTCACTATGTTGAGAATATTTTCAAAAGGTTTAATTATAGTGATTGTTCACCCGTTAGTACTCCCATGGATCCTAGTGTGAGGTTGATGCCTAATAAAAGAAAGGTGATATCACAACTTGAATACTCTCAAGCTATTGGTAGTTTGATGTATGTCATGACAAGAATCAGGTCGGATATTGCTTATGTCGTGGGTAGGTTGAGTCGGTATACTAGTAATCCTAGTACTCAACATTGGCAAGCAATGAAGAGAGTGTTCAAGTATTTAAAAGGAATCATGGATTATGATTTGTGTTACTTTGAGTATCCTTCAGTGTTAGAGGGATATTTGGATGCCAGTTGGATATCCAATGTAGAGGACCATTCTTCTACAAGTGGTTAAGTATTCTTGCTTGGGGGATGACGTGCACTTGTCGTGAGGTGCACTCAAAATAAATATTCAATACAACACTTATACGTAGTATAGTGTAGTAAGGTTCGTATCCATAAGGAAAGGAATACTTTTCTTTTATATGAATAGTAACAAGGGGGGTTTTGATTGGGTGATGAATTTAAAATGTATTTAAACACTAAGTTGAATGACTTATGTGGTTTACTTTAATAGGGATGAAGACTTGGTTTTTCTTTTATCCACTTAATGAAATGTTCGTCGATCTCGGTTATATATTTAACTATCTTCCTCTCGAATACTCAATCGAGGAGTATCTCCCGTTCATCGAGGATAGTTATTAATAACAATTGGAACAATATAATTAAGAGGAAAATGTTCCTTGCTTTCTTAGGCCAATCGGCCATATAATATATACACACATGGGATTGCCGAAGCCATGCAAGGCTAACGGCTGCAGTCCCTAAAAATCAGCCTAAGAATACGCTAACTATAAATGTATAAGATGTGTAGGTTACAACAAATAAAGGTAAGAAATAATAGGCTTTAATAACAAATAAATGTGTTGTCTGGAAGCAATAATATGCTACAGTTAATTCGCCCCCGCAGTTGATACGGAAGGAGGCAACCGGACGTGGAGACTGGAACGGAAATCATCGAATAAAATGCGTGGCAAGCCTTTGGTGAATATGTCCGCAAATTGGTGCCGAGTGGGAACATGTAGAATACGGACCTCCCCACGAGCTACTTTTTCCCGAACAAAGTGAATGTCGATTTCAATGTGCTTGGTTCGCTGGTGTTGGACCGGGTTGCCCGCCATGTATATGGCGCTAATGTTATCACAGTAGACAATAGATGCTTTGGTAGGAGGTGAGTGTAGCTCAAGTAGGAGGTTGCGAAGCCAGCATAACTCGGCGACAACGTTGGCAACCCCTCAGTACTCGGCTTCGGCACTAGAACGGGAGACGGTGGTTTGGCGCTTAGAGGACCAAGAGAGGATGTTATCACCTAAGAAAACACAGTAGCCGGAGGTGGAGCGTCTTATGTCGGGGCAGCCGCCCCAATCAGCGTCGGTGTAGGCCGTGAGAGAGTGAGACGGTGAGCGATGGAGATGTAGCCTGAGATGGGCAGTACCGCGGATGTAACGAATAATTCGTTTGAGGGCGTGAAAATGAGACTCCCGTGGGTCATGCATAAACAAACATATTTGTTGGACGGCATAGGAGATATCGGGTCGAGTGAAGGTGAGGTATTGTAAAGCACCGGCAAGGCTACGGTAGAGGGTGGGGTCATGTACCTTGGGACCGGCGGTAGCGCTGAGTTTGGCATTAGTGTCGACCGGGGTAGCCACTGGGTTGCACTGGTCCATTCCCGCACGGCTAACAATGTCGAGGGCATATTTCTCTTGAGATAAAAAGAGGCCGACGGGCACCATGGTGACGGAGATGCCCAAAAAAAAGAGAGATGTCCGAGGTCAGTCATGGAAAACTCCCGTTGGAGATGAGATAA